TTGGGACACGTCAGGTCACAAAGGTCAGCTTAGGATCATCAAATAGCTCAATTGGAGGTCATGTGGCACATATCAGGTCACAGAGGTCAGCTTGGAGTCATCAGAGCTCAATTGGAGGTCACGGAGGTCATCTGGGACACGTCAGGTCACAGAGGTCAGCTTAAGGTCATCAGAGAGGTCACTTAGAGGTCGCAGAGGTCATATGGGACACGTCAGGTCACAGAGGTCAACTTGGGGGTCATCAGTGAGCTCAATTGGAGGTCATCTGGGACATATCAGGTCACAGAGGTCAGCTTGGAGTCATCAGAGCTCAATTGGAGGTCACGGAGGTCATCTGGGACACGTCAGGTCACAGAGGTCAGCTTGGGGTCATCAGAAAAGTCACTTAGACGTCACAGAGGTCATATGGGACACGTCAGGTCACAGAGGTCAGCTTGGAGTTATCAGAGCTAAACTGGAGGTCACGGAGGTCATCTGGGACACGTCAGGTCAAAAAGGTCAACTTGGGGTCATCACAGAGCTCGATTGAAGGTCATGGGGGTCATCTTGGACACGTCAGGTCACATGTCAGCTTGGGGTCATCAGAGAGGTCACTTAGAGGTCGTGGAGGTCATATGGGACATGTCAGGTCACAGAGGTCAACTTGGGGTTATCAGAGCTCAATTGGAGGTCATCTGGGACACCTAAGGTCAGAGAGGTCAGCTTAGGATCATCAAAGAGCTCAATTGGAGGTCATCTGGGACATATCAGGTCACAGAGGTCAGCTTGGAGTCATCAGAGCTCAATTGGAGGTCACGGAGGTCATCTGGGACACGTCAGGTCACAGAGGTCAGCTTAAGGTCATCAGAGAAGTCACTTAGAGGTCGCAGAGTTCATATGGGACACGTCAGGTCACAGAGATCAACTTGGGGGTCATCAGTGAACTCAATTGGAGGTCATCTGGGACATATCAGGTCACAGAGATCAGCTTGGAGTCATCAGAGCTCAATTGGAGGTCACGGAGGTCATCTGGGACACGTCAGGTCACACAGGTCAACTTGGGGTCATGAGGGAGGTCACTTAAAGGTCACAGAGGTCATATGGGACATGTCAGGTCACAGAGATCAGCTTGGGGCTATCAGAGAGCTCAATTGGAGGTCATCTGGGACATGTCAGGTCACAGAGATCAGCTTGGAGCCATCAGAGAGGTCACTTGATGTCACAGAGGTCATATGGGACACGTCAAGTCACAGAGGTCAACTTGGGGTCATCACAGAGCTCAACAGCTCAACTGAGGGTCATTTGGGACACGTCAGGTCACAGAGGTCAGCTTAGGATCATCAAATAGCTCAATTGGAGGTCATGTGGCACATATCAGGTCACAGAGGTCAGCTTGGAGTCATCAGAGCTCAATTGGAGGTCACGGAGGTCATCTGGGACACGTCAGGTCACAGAGGTCAGCTTGGGGTCATCAGAAAAGTCACTTAGACGTCACAGAGGTCATATGGGACACGTCAGGTCACAGAGGTCAGCTTGGAGTTATCAGAGCTAAACTGGAGGTCACAGAGGTCATCTGGGACACGTCAGGTCAAAAAGGTCAACTTGGGGTCATCACAGAGCTCGATTGAAGGTCATATGGGGGTCATCTTGGACACGTCAGATCACATGTCAGCTTGGGGTCATCAGAGAGGTCACTTAGAGGTCGTGGAGGTCATATGGGACATGTCAGGTCACAGAGGTCAACTTGGGGTTATCAGAGCTCAATTGGAGGTCATCTGGGACACCTAAGGTCAGAGAGGTCAGCTTAGGATCATCAAAGAGCTCAATTGGAGGTCATCTGGGACATATCAGGTCACAGAGGTCAGCTTGGAGTCATCAGAGCTCAATTGGAGGTCACGGAGGTCATCTGGGACACGTCAGGTCACAGAGGTCAGCTTAAGGTCATCAGAGAAGTCACTTAGAGGTCGCAGAGTTCATATGGGACACGTCAGGTCACAGAGATCAACTTGGGGGTCATCAGTGAACTCAATTGGAGGTCATCTGGGACATATCAGGTCACAGAGATCAGCTTGGAGTCATCAGAGCTCAATTGGAGGTCACGGAGGTCATCTGGGACACGTCAGGTCACACAGGTCAACTTGGGGTCATGAGGGAGGTCACTTAAAGGTCACAGAGGTCATATGGGACATGTCAGGTCACAGAGATCAGCTTGGGGCTATCAGAGAGCTCAATTGGAGGTCATCTGGGACATGTCAGGTCACAGAGATCAGCTTGGAGCCATCAGAGAGGTCACTTGATGTCACAGAGGTCATATGGGACACGTCAAGTCACAGAGGTCAACTTGGGGTCATCACAGAGCTCAACTGAGGGTCATTTGGGACACGTCAGGTCACAGAGGTCAGCTTAGGATCATCAAATAGCTCAATTGGAGATCATGTGGCACATATCAGGTCACAGAGGTCAGCTTGGAGTCATCAGAGCTCAATTGGAGGTCACGGAGGTCATCTGGGACACGTCAGGTCACAGAGGTCAGCTTAAGGTCATCAGAGAGGTCACTTAGAGGTCGCAGAGGTCATATGGGACACGTCAGGTCACAGAGGTCAACTTGGGGGTCATCAGTGAGCTCAATTGGAGGTCATCTGGGACATATCAGGTCACAGAGGTCAGCTTGGAGTCATCAGAGCTCAATTGGAGGTCACGGAGGTCATCTGGGACACGTCAGGTCACACAGGTCAACTTGGGGTCATGAGGGAGGTCACTTAGAGGTCACAGAGGTCATATGGGACATGTCAGGTCACAGAGGTCAGCTTGGGGTTATCAGAGAGCTCAATTGGAGGTCATCTTGGACATGTCAGGTCACAGAGATCAGCTTGGAGTTATCAGAGAGGTCACTTGATGTCACAGAGGTCATATGGGACACGTCAAGTCAAAGAGGTCAACTTGGGGTCATCACAGAGCTCAATTGAAGGTCATCTGGGACACGTCAGGTCACAGAGGTCAGCTTGGGGTCATCAAAGAGCCCGATTGGAGGTTACGGAGGTCATCTGGGACATGTCAAGTCACAGAGGTCAACCTGGGTCATCACAGAGCTCGATTGAAGGTCATGGGGGTCATCTTGGACACGTCAGGTCACAGAGGTTAGCTTGGGGTAATCAGAGAGATCACTTAGAGGTCGCAGAGGTCATATGGGACACGTCATGTCACACAGGTCAACTTGGGGTCATGAGGGAGGTCACTTAGAGGTCACAGAGGTCATATGGGACATGTCAGGTCACAGAGGTCAGCTTGGGGTTATCAGAGACCTCAATTGGAGGTCATATGAGACACGTCAGGTCACAGATGTCAACTTGGGGTCATCACAGAGCTCAATTGGAGACCACTGATGCAGCTGAGACACGTCAGTCACAAAGGGCAACTTGGAGGCACGTCAGGTCACAGAGGTCAACTTATGGTCATCACAGAGCTCAACTGGGGGTCTTCTGGGACATGTCAGGTCACAGAGTTCAGCTTGGGGTCATCAGAAAGATAACTTAGAGGTTACAGAGGTCATATGGGACACGTGAGGTCCCAGAGGTCAAGTTGGGGTCATCACAGAGCTCAAATGGAGGTCATCTGGGACATGCCAGGTCACAGAGGTCAGCTTAGAGTTATCAGAGCTAAACTGGAGGTCACAGAGGTCATCTGGGACACGTCAGGTCAAAAAGGTCAACTTGGGGTCATCGCAGAGCTCGTTGGAGGTCATGGGGGTCATCTGGGACACGTTTTTGGAATCGGGAGAATTTTTGGGGGGATGACCCTTGCAGCGTCCAAGACCGCCTTTCTGGATTCGCCAGTAGTTGCTGGAATGGTGTTAGGCTACTTCCAATTCCTGAATACCCCAATAAATGTGAAATAGCATATTATGGACCATTTTCAACACTCTTGCTGCCTCGCTGGCATGGATGGAGGCCTCATAAACGACCTGTCAGTTCAAGCTCTATAACTTGCATTAGCATCAATGGATTGCAACAAAATTTTCAGGATCTCAAGTTCAAACAATTTTACACGTACCACGTAAATTTCGAGGCAATGACCCGAATGACCTGTGACCTATTCGGTATACCCCAAGGCAAGGTCAACTTGCGACACTAACACTACTTACGACTGCTATTTCAATTTTGTAAGTTGTGTCACAAATCAGGCAACGTGCAATACATTAAAATTACAATAACCCACACCAAAACACACTATACCTACCAAATCAAGTTCTTCAGCACCCCTAAGGCCAGTGCACCGGCACGGGGCACGTCCAAGGTCAAATGGATTTTCGGTTTGTTATTTTCATCAAGGTTTTGATAGGTGCTCGCACGGTAGCCATGTTGGGATAGGTGAATTAAAGGTTAAATTATTTAAATATTTTAAAATAATTTAAGACCTGCCAAGCCTAACAATATGCAGAATAATAACCAAAATTAAAAATTGTATTGGGATAAAAATTTATATGTGAATCGAAAGGGTCCGCTAAAAATGACCTTGACCTTTGACCCGTCATTTCTCCGTAGTTTGACCTTGCCAAAACAAGAAAAACCAGCAGTAGCATCTCCAACATTGGTTGCATCATTGAGCAAAAAAATTTTGAAATCTAAGGGGTCCTCCTTTCTCACCTGACCACGTGGTCACTTCCACTTCCTGTATTACACATACGTGACCTTGATTCTGACCTTTGACCTATTATATATCAGTTCGTGCTGCCTGCCAAAGTAAGATACTGATATTTTTGAAATCAACTCTTCATGGACTATAGTTGTACCAATTTTTACGAGAATCCAAAGGGTCCGCCGAGAATGACCTTGAACTTTGACCTAAGATTCCTCAGTTCTTAGGGGTTGCCAAGCCTAGGTGATTTATTTTCATAATAAGCATGTCCTGCTCTATCTATCCTATTAATTTAAATCGATTCTGAGGGGTCCGTTTTTGTCATTTTTTCCACGAATGTGGTGCTGGAATCCGAATCCGAATTTGAAGCCAACTTTATGAACGTGCTTTACTGTGTGATTACGTGAGAGGGTTAATTTCAGGGGTGTAACTTCAGGTGCGCTGACTTCAACTCCTTAAATTAGAAGTTTTTATTACAACATCTTTCTCAGGTAATGATAATTAGTTAGTTTGTTAGTTAGTATTCTAGTGGTAAGACCTGTCTGAAAAGGCTAAAAAAAAGGCTCAGGGAAGCTTCAATTATGAACTAAAAGCTAGTGAAAGGAAGATCATTTTACATGTTGGACGCAAGAGCCAAGCTGCTACGCGCCCTAAACCAAAACAACAACAACATCATTTTACATTTTGTATGTTCCCTCAGCAAGCATATTCTCAGCCGCTAGCATGTTTTGTGCACTGACTGTGTTGTCATCCATCTGCTAGTGCTACTGATGCGAATATTATATTAAGCTGGCTATTTAGGTATATAATTTAAGAAACTATGTGCATGCTTGTGTGGATCATTGAGGGCTTTGATTAACATATCAGCTTGATTTGTTTCAGTTGATCTCCAATTTTGACCAAGGTGAACATGGTATGGAAACTGATCCTCTGAAGACAGACACCATGTCATATGACTCTTTGGGGTCATCTCAGGTATGTGCTGAGTGCTGGCACCAGCAGTGTTCCATTTATCAGACTTTTTGGTGGCAAATCACACCTAATCAGTTGGGCAAACTAGACTTTTGGAATCAAAATATGGAGGCATCAATAATTTGATTCTGGTGGGAGGAGCCATGACCAAATATGGGCATGGAATCAATTTTTTGATTCATTTGGGTACACTTTTGACTTCAAATGTATCGTTACGGTTGAAAAAAGGCCCATGACGGTGAGATTTTTCTTTAAAAAGGTAGAAAAATGTGGTAGGTTTGCAAAAAGTGTTACCTCAAAACTAAGAAATTGTCCCTTTGGCCTTGTGAATAGAAAAAAGGCAGAGGCACTGTCCATCACGTAAAAGCTGTTTTGAGGAAATCACACTATATAATATTTTTGTATCTTGAATCGCATAGGTACTAAACAATCAGTATTTGTATAAAATGGCAAAATCAAATTTTTGAACCCCTTATTATCGTTGTTGTAGTGCTTTTATATTTATTATATGGTTTTTACCTGATGCTTCAGTTTTTGTATTCTTGACATTTAAAAATTGTGAATTGTTATCAAATGTAGTGAAGGTAAAGTACAACAATGCTATAGGTATCTGTTGTGGTGCTGAGGATACCACTAAGTGAGAATAATAGCAAGATAAATGCTGTATTCTTGCAAGTAATTGTTGCCTATCTGTTAACATTACCTGTGAATCAAAATAATGATTAGCCAGCTGATGAGGAATCAATATTATGATTATCTGTTCAAAGTGAATCAATTCCTTGATTGCCTTCCACTACCCATAGAATTCAAATTGTTATGATAGGAGCAATATTATTTTGCTTAGGAGATACTTCCAGCATTTCTGTTCAAGATCAGCCATGCTCCTTCTTGAAACACTCTCTTATTTTTATGTGATTGGTAAGTTAGAAATGGTCTGCATTTATGCCCAAATATGGTCATAAGGAATCAATCTTTTGATGCCTCCATATTTTGATTCCAAAGGTCTAGTTTGCCCAACTGTAATGGGGAAAATACTTTCATCCCTAAAATATGAATGGCCGACTTCACTTCATCTCTGAAAAATGTTTCGTGTATTCCCAACAGCCAGTTTACATGTCACTTGACATTTGATGCACCCTCATCGTTTTGTTTCATACCATGTCAAGATCCTGACACGAAATCCTGGTTTATCAGTTGGCATAAAAATTGGCATTACACCATTTTGCAAAAATACTCCAGCTATTTATTTCCCTTTTTCTCATCCTAGGATTTTTGTTTCTTCATCGGCACACCCAACCAAAATCCAATTTTAGAACACTGGACACCAGCATAGCTATAGTCAAAGATTTAGTGCTATAGGTAACTGAGCAGTAATTTGAACAATACTTCTTTTGTGTAGGTAATGTTTTCATTTATTTATTTATTTATTTATTATTTTTAGAGACCCATCCTTGCTCAAGAACTAGGTCATGTGCTTAAGATGGCCCAATATGGTTATAGGCACCAATGAGCTGCATGTGCAAAAGATACCTAATAAGTGTTTGCAAATTTGATTGCCTAAATATTGTGTTCCTTTGCCTCTCTGTATGCAAAGTGATGTGGTGGGAACTGGGAAGTCTGGTGGTGCTAATCTGTTACATGTGAAAGTCCTTTCCAGTACCTACCCAATTCAGAAATTCATTCTAGTTTTCTATTAGTTTATGTAAATGTTACACTTTGTTCTCCACTGTCATCACAGCCTTGATGCTATGTTTTTGCATCACTTCTTCCTGTGCAATATTTGTCTCGACTGCGTGGCGATTAACACAGCTATCCTCCCTAGAGTCTGTAGGCCGCCCGGGTTCGCATCGCGGACGGCGTGCTCGCGCGGATGGAGGGCCAGGTAACGTGGTGGCTGGAGGCCGTCCCTTCTCTGCCTGACGGGGTGCGGGCACACACACACACACACCGGCCGCTGGCTGTACATAGGGCGAGCGGGGCGCGCGGCCCGGGCCTCACTGGCGCCGGCAGCGCGACGACGTGTCGAGGAGGCCGTCTGCATGTGTGGTGTGGGGCTCATTTAGGCCGAGAGCACAAGGATTAAACATTTAAATCATGGAATGTCACCGTTTCTTGACGAATGGCATTGAGTGATAAACACTACTAAATCGTGTTTACTAATCGATAAAGGTTATTGAGTGAAATTCGTCTGACATGGTCTGACCTTTAGGCGAAGACTATTAAACTTACCTAACGGCTAACGAGCTCAAATGTATGTACCTATTTTGCTCAAAATGTAAGTGTAGGGGGCGAAAATTGAAGAATATACATTTTAATTTAATGACGATCAAGGCGATGAGTTTTTATGCGCACAGCTTTCAGCCCTGATTTCCGTTCCATCGAATTATGCTGCCGTGATGATTGTTAAGGATTGATTGTGTTTGGTACTTGATACCTATAACGCTTCCGCATTCAAACCCTTTTTTCTCGCACTTTTTTTTTTGCATTTTGTTTCAAGCCCATTTGCCTTGTTTGTTTTTGGTGTGTATTTTCTATTGATCACTGTGTGCTGGCTCTATGGATGTTGATTTAGTAGCTGCCTCGGACCGGGTCGGTCCGGCTGTCAGCACGGCCGCCGCCTCTCCCCGCTCCACTGCTACTGTGGGCCCCCCACCGGCACCGTTCGCCACTCAGTCAGAGTCGGCAGCACAGTGCGAATAGAGCCGACTGATATCTGCCTATCGGGTCAGACCGCCGCGCTGCCCGGTGTATCAGGCGTTAACCGAACGGCGGCGACCAGGCTCGGCCTGTAAGCCTTTACAGCGGGGGCAGACGTAGTACCGTAAGGTGGGGCTATTTGAGACAGTGGGGCTATTTGAGACAGTAGGTATTTAAAATTGTTATAAAATAAAGACCGTTTGAAATTTATGCTTAATTTTTGCTCATGCGATTTACTGCTCGATTCCACACATCCCTGAGCAAAAATATCACATAAAAATCAAACGCTCTTCATTTTATAGCGATTTTAAATACTGTCTCAAATAGCCCCACTGTCTCAAATAGCCCCACTTTACGGTATGTAGATACCGGGGAGGTGAGATGGTTCCTAATCGTGAGGCGAAGCTGCACCTTTGGTGGAACGAATTCAGGTCCTGTGGGCTACCTACGCAATCATCGACGAAACATAAATAGGATACAGTGCAGTTAGGTTTGGTGAAAAGAAAAATCACAGTTTTGATGGTTAAAAAATCAAGCCTGCACCTGTCTTTACCTGTGCTTAAAAAATGGCGGTAAGAGCATCAAGAACTTATCAGGCCAGCTGAAATATGCTGAGCCACGCGTCTGGTTACGCCGCCAGCTGTGCCGGGTGTTGCGGCTGCACTCCCCGACCGCTGCTCGTCTGCCGGCGCACCAGTGGTGGCGTTGGTGCTGGTGACGCTGATGGTGATGGTGGTGGTGGTCCCCGTGCGCCCCCTATTTGGTGGAGGCTGGCTGTGCAGGGCTGGGTTTCAGGCCGCTGGCGTACGGCGCCCCTTCTCTGCACGGCTTGAAGCCCATAGATCGATGGCCAGTGGTTGCCGCTACTGCTAGACCACCTGCTCCTAGTCTACTGCTCAGCTCGGCTGGCATTCGGTGTTCAGATAGTTTCCTGAGCTTTGCTACGGTTTAGCTTCTGCTATATTTATAGAAGATTGTGGTCAACCTATCACGACTTGTTTTGTTTTATTTTAGTGGTGTGTTTAGCATGTCATTTTTCCTAACGTTTGATGTTATTTCTAGGCAGCATTGTTGCTTCTATGATATTTCTTTTCTTTACTTATGTGTTTCCGTTCGCTGTGTATCTCTGTATTCTCTATTATTGCTTCTGCCCTCGGTTTTGTATTCCATTTTTCTGTGGTACCTATACATTCTATTGTCTCCCCGTTTAGACAAGTGGATGTGTAGGGAATACTGTACGGTAACAGTGGAGCCTGCTGGCAGACTATATCGACCGTGTGTTTGTGTATGTCTGAGTGTATGTCTGTATGCGCGCTCATCCCGAGCCGGAAACGGTCCTGCGGTCTAGCGATAATCTGCCAACGGCGTGTCCGCCATCGTTGTCCTGAGTCTGACGTCTGTCGTCACGTCTGCCGTCACGTCTGCCGCCGCTGTTTATATGTCTGGCGTCACTGTCGACATGTCTGTCGTTATGTCGAGATGTATGTCGTCTGACGTCACCGTCCACACATCTATCGTCACTGTCGACACATCTGACGTCACTGTCGACATGTCTGACGTCACTATCCACCTGTCTGCTGTCGCTCAGTCACCGAGTTTTCCTTGCCCACATATCGTTTTCCCTGTCGTCCTCGGCCCGTTCAATGAAAATTCCCTGTCACGGAACGGACACCAACCGCGGATCACACTCGAACATTGTTTTCCGCGCGGTAAAGTGGGTGTTTTTCCGGGCAGTTTTAGTACTAGTCCACTCCAAACGGTCGTTTTCGATTCTGAGGAGCCGTCCGCGGGACGGTACTGACTAGGCTGGCGCTGGTAAAGCTGTTGGAATGGTCGGGGTGGTCGGGGAATACGACGGTTCGTGGTTTGTGATTTATCTAGAACTGCGCGGGAAAAGACATTCGGCTGACCATTCACCATTCACCATTCACACCATTCGAAAGTTGATTAGCAAGCTATGGGCCGTGCTGCATCCGAGTGATATGGTGATATTGAGCTAGCTTGGCCTTCGATCTCTCGTCGGTCTTCGATAAAATTGACCTATCATTGTCGCATTGATGTCGATTATCTGCTTCTCCCGTTAACGATGACATACTGTGATAGCTTTTCTCCGGATCCACGGGCAGCGCAAGGCCCTATATACCGGGCAGCGTCCATCTCAGCGACACTCCGATGGTGCTGTCTCACCCCCCCCCCCCCCCCCTCCTCGCCCTGTCACGTGGCTCTCCAGACATCCGTCCGTCCTGCGACCGACTGCCCACGCGGCGGGCCGGGCCGCGCGCTCACACAACACACAGACACACAGACTGTCATTGACCTCTGAGTGTTCCCGGGCTGACGGCCTCGGTTTACAGAGGACGTGGGTGACACCGGACCCGACACGGCACGTGTCGGAGGGTGCCGGCCGCCGACACAGGCGATGTAACAGGGGATAGAAGGGGGATCGGTGACATACGATAATTCCTTTAGTCACGTGAGCTGGTATCGGTCGAAAGGGTGGCTCGATATGGAGTAGGCATTCAATTTATTGACGCCTTCGGGCTATGCTGGGTAAGCCACGCCCTTCCATTTTCTTTCAGTCTCCGCAAAGGAGTATGACAATTGTACAATCTCAGTTCTTGGTTGTTATCCGCTTTACCCAGTTTTCATTTTGAATTTGTGTCTTCTCGATTTTCTAACCTAGCCCCCTTATCCTCCGCGGTGCGTCGGACTCCGGCCGGCCGATAACATGGTCAGCGGACGTCTTCACCGGAGCCGGAGGGCTGGATTGTGTCGGTCGCCGGGGTGGGGGGGGGGGCGGATGTCGTGTGTGTCATGTACCCGTGCGACGGAATCAGGTCACCATCCGACCACCGCCGGCCGCCGTCCGGCACGGGGTTCAGCTCACGTCCGCTGTGTCTGATCACTTTAATTTGACGGGCTCTTCCATAGCTTTAATGGAAATGGAATGGTTTGATCTGTTTAATTTGAGTTGTGGAATGCTGATTGACTTAAATTACTTTAGATTATTTCGCGTACTCAACCTGAAAGTTCAGCTGCGCTATACGTTGGCATATGACGTCTGGCTTGTCCTTGGCTGAATGGCATGAGGCGTATGATCTCTTCTCCGCCCGTTTCGCGGGTATCTGCGTCGGTTTCGGGCGATCTCCTTGGCCCAGTCAGCGTGCCCTGTGTTTACTTCACAGTGTAACGGAATACGGGAACTGCGGGGATGCTGACGGGTCCAGTACCCACGTCAATGACACTGCATGAAGGGGAGGGACCGGGGACACAGCCAGTGGAGGGGAGGAAGGGCAGACAGCCGGCGACAGACCATGACCCCACGGACATCCTGCGACCCGTGGAGATGAATGATATCCTACCTCACACCGAGTGCGGCTGTTAACCCGCGCCCCGCTGGGGGGGGGGGCAGAATCTGCCCCCCCTCCCGTTTTTCGCCAATAACTTCTAAACGCGTTACGCCAGCGACGTCAAACTTTCAGTACCTTATCACACATCAATTTGACACGTTCCCTGAAAATTTGAGCGAAATCCGTCGGAAATTTTTTGAGAAATTGACGTTTTAGTGACGTCATGTTCGCCATTTTCGCCTCAAAAACGGCAAAATTTCAAACACCGCTAACATCTTCATTTTTTAAGGAATCAAGACGTAACAAAAAAGGTTATACGTGATTCTACTTTGTCTATCAAATGGCTATCTCGATTTTTTGAAAATTTTGGATTTTGGCCAAAATTTTTCCAAAAAACTGACATTTTTGGGAAAATATTTATAAAATCCAAAATTTTGAGTTTATCGAAAAAACCGGAATATATGTCAAAGAAGTGGTCTATGTGCACCTACATACCAATTTTTAGAAGAATCGGTTCAAAAATGTGGGAGTTATTCAAAATTTTATGACGTCACGACACACAAAATTTTTGAAAAATGATTTTTTTGGAAGTTCTAGACCTCGTACGGAAACAAAAATAGCACCATTCGATTCGCCGTGAAAAACTGCATCGGATAGACACCTTTTTAGGCCTTAACAACCAACTTCAAAATTTGACCTCACTTGACCTGACCTTGACCTGACCTCGACCTGAAATTCATCCCGAGGTGGTCCATATCACTTATTGAGTGTGCCTATTGATTTCCATGAGTAAAATGACCCATAAAGCATGTGTCGCACATGCCCTTTTCTATATTTTGTTTTTGGTGACCTGACCTGACCTGACCTGACCTTAACCTTGACCTTTGAATGACATTGTGTGCAACGAATATTGTCTTGGTAGTCTAAGGACACGTTTTGGGCAATCAGTCTCAGTCCATTCTTCGGCAACTACGGTGCAAGGCCGATAATGTAGAAACTTGCATTTTGTACCCTTGACCTGACCTTGACCTGACCTCTGACCTACTTAGGCAAAAAAATTTGGGCTCTTAAGATCCGCCTTGTTGAGAGCTTTCGATTGCCGTTTTCCCCGTCTTTCTACGACCATCGGTTCGGAAGTTAGACAGGGGGGGGGGCAGAATCTGCCCCCCCCCCCCCCAGCAGGGCGCGTATGGCTGAATAGCCCAGCGGGGCGCGGGTTAACCCTCGCCGGACCTATTGGTTTTCTACATACGCGCCGGCCGAGGGGGGGGGGGGGCGGGTACGACCCCCCCTCGCCGTTTCGCCCCTGGTGGAGCTAGCGCGTCGCGGAAAAAACGAGCGTGTGCGCCGTTACGAGACGCAGAGATTGGTACCCGATTTTAAAGTCCTAGGTCAACCGGTGACCTCTGAGGTCAGGTCAAGTGCCCCAAGGTACGGTTCAGTTTTTGGTGAATAACTTCGCAAAAAACGGCCGCAGAGCGCCGATTTTGGCAGCATCGTGTTCGTCTCGCTCAGGCGCGTCGAATGATATACTTTTTGTCCGGGTCAGGTCAACTTGGGGTGTTGACCTCAGGTCAAGGTCAGGTCAGCACCCCCAGGTCACGAAGTTGGTCGAAAGGGGTCATGTCGCATATCATTCGATTCGGCAGGTCTTCCTGAGTCCATTGGTGGCTTTCCCGACTCGCTAGCTCAATTTGATCAAGAGTTATTGACGAAAAACTAATATGACCTTGATGACGTCATAAATGACGTCACGCAAGGTCAACATTGCAAAAGTGACGCATCTAACCTTGCAAGGAGTGCATAAAATCACGATTCTGTGTGCTTGAGATAGTTGGAGATCGTTCCCGGCGCCAGAATAGCAGTTTTCATTTTTCCCCATTGACTTATAATGGTGAGGTCACGAAAATGACCTGACCTCATATGACCTTTAGGAAAAATCCGAGATATACAAGTTGTGGGACTCATAATGGATACTAGATCCTGCAAGTTTCATTTCCCTGTGACATCTCCTCTGGCAGTGAGGGCGTTGCGAAGTTGCGACATCTGAAGACCGTGCAGAGGTTCACTTATGACGTCATAGGTCAGTGACCTGACCTGACCCAAAAATGCGGTTGGTGTCAAAAGATGCGGCTTGGATCAAAGGTCAGGTATGCCAAGTTTCAGCTCTATCGCCAGCGTGTTCGGAGCTATCGCGAAAAAACCCTATGGGGGGGGCGGCACCCGCCCCCCCCCCCTCGGCCGGCGAGGGTTAAGCTGTTACTGACTGGCACATGACTTGGACACGAATTGGATGTCGCGGCTTTTGAAGCTGATACATGAAAGATATAAGGATGTCCTTCGATCAGAAGGCACTGAAAACTGAAGAATTATTGGTGAAACAGCCTTCGAAGACGGGCATGGATTAGCTGGATACGTCGCCTGGCATAGCGGAGTGTTTCATAATGGATGGAATATGGGTTTGAACATTTTAGGTGGCTCAGATTGCAGTTCTTTTCTTCGTCGTGGAAAGCGAATTCCTACGCCAGGGATGGTCAGCCGCCAGACTTTTTCATTCGTGTAGCGGACTGCACGCCATCACACAAAGAGGCACACAAAAGTGTCTGACGTTTGGGGCCCACTTAGGCGCCGCTGCGGCTCAGACTATCACAGAGACTGCCGGTTTTCAGTACGTCACTACCGTACTTTAACCAGTATCGTTTGCTGCTCCAGTTTCTTGTTTTGCTTTACTTTCGTTCTCTCTTGGTAAATATACCCTGGCGTCATTCTCCCACGCTGCAATATGTGATATTCAATCCTCCCCCGTGGGTGAGCAAGCCGGATGTCAGCGGTTCACCGCCGGAGCGGTGTCCATGTCGGACCGTCCTCTATCCTCACAGGAACGCCTCACTGGTTCAGAATTCGATGGTTTGGCTCTCCTGTGATCGTCGTCTGATTCCATCTCCACTCTTCAGTCGCCGACGTTTGACACATGATGTCTGCCGCTCTTCTCTCGTCGGTCACCTCGGCTCCCTACACCTCCCCAGCACCTCCCTCACGTCTTCCCCACCTTTCCCGTCCTGCCCTCCCGGACGCGGGCCCGGCCGTCCCCCGGAGCGGTCGGCCGACGACTGAGCCCCCGTCGAGTGCCGCCCACCTGTACCTCACCGGGCGGGCCGGCACCGCACCTGGGCGGGCAGCTGACCGCGCGCGGAGCCGCCAGTCCGCCACCGCGGCCAGCGGCTGTCAGCGCGCCATTCGGCCGGCGACGGTGTGCCCCTCCGTGCTGCAGCGGCGGCGCCCCCTCCGTGCAGCACGCGGAGCCATGTACGGCTCACACGTGCACTGGGCGGCCGCCCGCGCCCGCCGCTTCTACGGACAAATCACCGAGGAGGGAGACGGCGAGGACTCGGAGACGGAGGACTGGCGACTCGGGGACAAGGTGCGAATCGGCCGGTGCTGGATCTGCTGCTGGCGAGGCCGCTGCTGTGGGGCGACTTCTCTCACGGCCGCGGCTCTGCTCCATCTCCTGCTGCGGGCAGCGGTGATCTCCATTGTGGTTGTTTCGCCTGCGGTGAATCCGTTGGTGGTGGTCGGAGTTAGCTCAGAGACTGTGGTCTTCCTGTGGCTCTCCCGTGGTTCGCCTGTAGTGGTTTGGATGTGGCGGTGGTCGGAGATGTTCGAATACATCAATGTCCGCCAGACAGCCGCTCTGGTCTTCAGCTGCCCTCGGTGGTGTCTCCCGTGATCTGTACGGTGTGTGTCTGTGGAAGGGATCGTGTCTTCGGTCGGTGTTATCTGCCGTGACCCATGGTGTATCTTAGGAATACACCGTGTCTTCTGTCGTTGCTGCCGTGTGCTGTGCTGTGGCCTATAATGTGTCCAAGGAGCAAGGTGGCCCAGGGCGTGGTGGTTCAGTTTCTCTACCTTCCTCTAATCGGATCCGCTTCAGTTCTCGGTATAACGCGGTGGAATGGGTCTCCGATTGCGGCCCCGGTGTTGGTTACTATCGGTGAAGCGTGGCGGTCAGTGCGCAGATCTAATACCGGGTCAGTGGGTGGATGGCGGTCGTTCGGAGAGCTGTGGACTGGTTCGAGCACCGTGTGGGTCCCGTGTGTGAGAGGTGTGGTGTTGGACGTGACTGCTGGTTACCTGTGACTAACGAGTGACCTGTAACTGCTCGATCTACCGGTGACCTGTGGCCTGTGGTGACCTGTGGTGATCTGACCTAGTCCCAGTTATCGTGTGTAATTTGTGATATTTTGTTATAACCTGTGACTAATCTCCGGTAACTGCTCGAATAGTGATGATCTTTGTGACATGAACTGACCCCCGGTGACCTGTGCTGACCTGCGCTGACCTGTGCTGACCTGTGACCGGCAGCAGTCGCCGGAGCGGGGCGCCAGTCGCCGCCGCTCGGAAGATGGCCTGGCCGGGATGTCCACCGATGGCACGGTGCTGGAGCACGCGCTGCCGGAGAGTGACCGGGGCCTGGCACAGCACCACGGTCAGTAGACGGTAGCCCGGGGCTGGGAGGGAGAGGGTGGGGCCCGTGAGGTGAGTGGTGGAGCAGGTACGGGCCATGAGGAGGGGTGTTAATGAGAGATAGGCCACTATATCTGAACAGTATTTGGGAGGGAGGCATTGAAATTGCAACTATGGCACCATGACTAGTGACCTGATAGATAATATGCCTAAATTATCGTGCTGTGGATGGGTTGGTAGATATCCCCATCGCCGTCACCATCGCCGTCCATTTCCGGAATCCCTGTCAGCACAAGCCCACGAGGCGCCCCTTTACGTCACCTACTCGAAAATTCCATCACCCGAACAGGTTGACAACGTGTGCACCACTGTACCTCCTATGTCACTGATAGTCCTCTGCGCCACCTGTGTGTATGTATACACAGCTCCCTCCCGGGACGATCCGACGGTGGCTGTGGGTGATGATTGCCCGCGGTTGGGCCAGGACCACTTGTGGGCACACCCGTTCACGGTACCGCTCGTCGGGCCGCCCACTCACCATGCTCGAACCGCAGAGCGACGCACCACCCACGGATCAAGTGCGACGCACCGCCCACGGATCAAGTGCGACGCACCGCCCACTACACTAGGATCTACATACAGCCCTCCCGGTCACCCACCGCACTGAGACCGCAGTGTGACACTTCGCACACGCACACCGCACTGGACTGGAGGGGAGGGAGGATGAATGATGCACCCGCATGCCATGCACTTGCTAATTAACCGTGTGTATTATGCTGATCTACGCATGAAAACCTTGCTCTTGCACCATCACGTGTTCGCTTATTTTCACTCACTGGGTTCTTTTTTTGTTATGGGGTGGTAATATTTCATCTTTTTATTTTGCATGATACTTTTGTACGTGCAAAAGGATTTGTTTCCTTGTTGCTATAAAAGGCATAGTGCACTGATGTACTACATTTCTTAACGCGATCTATACAGTTTGACCTTAGCATGCAGACTGTCTATCATTCCATGCTAATCGCACCCCATGCACACTCGTTCTTTAGTTACCGGTAATATGGTCTTCTAGCGACTCATTACTGTGCACCTCGCGCTGTTTCCCACCGGTTTACCGCTCACTATCGGTGTCGTGTTTCCTGGGCGGTGGATCCTGCCGGTCCGGCCGGGTCCCGTTCGGTGGTACTCCCTGGAACTGTATGTGTGACGGCGGTACTGCACGTTTTCCGCCGGCTGACCGGCCGGCCGGTCCCCGCATGTGTCTGTGCTGGAGCGTATGCTGACCGTCTTCTCTCTCCCTCTCTCTTTTCACGGCCAGGTCATCATGTGTTGTTCGCCGGATTTCCAGGTGAGGACCGGGTGGGAAGGGAGACGGGAACAGGTCTGGCCGCCTGGGGACCCCCGGCTGGGGTCGAGGAGAGCCCCGAACCGCGGCACAGCACCTGCACATGGGGGCTGGAACGCGACTCCAGCACCGTCCCGCCCGGTATACCCGCCAAATCGCTTTGCCCACGATATAATTAGGCTTCACAATAACGTTATGTCAATATGTGCTTATCGCCCACTTATTTAGCCTACGCTGGACATTGTGTGGGTTTGGTCAATTGTTGCACTGTGCCTCCGCCCCAAAATATCGCCATCATTAACACGCTTACACCGTTTTTGCACACACAAAACACGCATACGCTTTATCCACCTAGAGCTCCGCACGTTGGCGCTGACACAGACACACGCACACGTTACTCCCCGGCTGATCGGGCGGTGTGGTGTCATTTTGGAGTGTCATCGACACCTAGCTGACACGGTAAGGGCAGCGGTGTCACTCGCAATTGTCAGGTGTCGTGACTGTCACCGGTCAGGGGCGTCGTCTGTCAGCTGACCTGTCAGACTGTCGTCCGCCCCCGCTGCTTGGACACGGGGACGGAAGGGGTGAATATCAGGCTGTCAGAGCGTTGTAGCGCCCGTCAAGCTCGTGAGAAATTCCCCTAAAGCGTCATGGTATCCTTATGGTCTTCGTCCGTATTGTAGCCCTATTGTAGTGAGAATATCCGTACGGTCTTGGTCACAATAGCGGGGATGAATACTGAACAGCACCCACGCTCGGTTCAGGTGTAAAGAACGGACAGATATCTCCTTTGAACTTCAGCTAATCCGGGATATGGTTCTGAAGTGTGCTAGGTAACGTCCGGTTTACACTAGGGTAACCGTTCACCTCTCGCGATACCTGATCGTATGGCCTTCACTACGTCCCTACTTTAGATCGTAGATTAGCACGGGGACTCTCCATTCCTCCCAGTACTATGTCGAGCTCAAACCTTCAGAGTTCCACGGGCCCCTCTGTAGCGTGTGGGGCGCCCCATAGGTGTGACAGGGTCAGTGGGGGATGGGGGGGGGGGGGGGGTCAGAGACCATCGATCGGTGCCTCGGACGGTGGGGAGGGGAGGGGGACCTCGTGGGTCTGACGGACAGGCTCGCCTCCCCCTCACCTGGGTGTGGTCTCCTCTGAGGGGGGGAGTGGTCACTGGTGGTCAGCGAAGCCGACCGTCTTGCTACCCGGGCTACGGGGAGGTCAGTCGTCCAGCCAGATTCACCTTTCCAAGTGCGATTTAAATATTGGGTGAGTTGGTAACCTGTCCTGTTTTACACTGATGAACAAGAGCAGCGCTACATAACTCGTGACCAATTAGACCGCTTGACAACATTTTGTCGTCTCACGGTGCGTGTAAGACTGCAGCTATTAAAGATTTTGCTCAGATAGTTCAACCCCGTGGGACGGAAGCGCCTGCTACCTCGGCGCCATCCCTGCCCTGGCGCTTGACGTCCCGCAGTCTGGTGGCGGCCGACCAACTGGTAACCCGAGCTACCCGACCTCCCTGTACGCCTCTTAGTCTACCCGGGACCCGAGCGACTCCACTCCTCTGGATATAGTGATTCCTTGCATCCCTGAGCTCCCTGTGCGTCTCCCACTCTACCCGAGCGACTCAACTCTCCTATAGATGTAGTAAGCCCCTGCGTCCCTGTGCAACCAACTATCTCCTGTCTGAGTGTTCTGTATGGATTTGTCCGTCAGGTGTGCCTGGCAATGCCAGCGTGGAGATGGAGCCGGAGGGGGAGCCGTTCGGCCAGTACGACGACTTCCATACCATCGACTGGCAACGCGATCTCGCCAGGGATCGAATGCGCCATAGGTGAGATGTCCCTCCCCCGTCTTATTATCACATTACCACACTGGCAACGCGATCTCGCCAGGGACCGCATGCGCCATAGGTGAGACGCTCCTCTTGTCTGCCATCTGGTGAGCGGTACGGGACATCCATAACCATGTCTTTCTATGAACGGGTGGAATATTGTTTTATCTTAAAACATGGTGCGCCTCAGCAGGTCCTAGGCCTAATAGTTTCGTCATTGCCGTTTTTGTTTGTGAGCTGGTGACTATGGCTGGTAGAGCGTACATATTTGATTTTGCCCAGTGGGCAGACTTAACCCAAACATATTGAGGCGCGATTTACGACGTATGTCTTATATAACGCTCATGTTTACCACTTTGACGTAAATAACCTACCCCATCCCGTGTCTGCCACTTTGACATTTTCTTTGCTTATTGACTACGTTGCTGCATACCAGCAGATACCCGTAAGTCGCACGATCCGGGTACCCAAAAGGAAAGAGATGCCCACTTTTGGCACATCAAAACCACACACACTCATCTTATGGCGACCGAGCTGAAGTACCCTGGCCGCTGGGACCTGTGCCGCGATCTACAGTGTCTCTCATAACTTTCTTCTTCTCTCTTCAGGTACATAGTGAAGAAGCGTCAGACGGGTTTTTTCGACCTGGTGCGCCAGTTTCACGACGCGTGGAGCGGCTGGCTGTGCGTGCTCCTAGTGGGCATCGTGGCCGGCGGAGTGGCCGGAGTGATCGACATAGGAGCCAGGTAACTGAGACGCTCCCGGCGCCGGCAGCGCACCGACGTACCTGGCTGCGGCGACTGAGCGGAGTTGAGGGATGGGCGGGACGGGGTTGGCAATATGCTACATCAATGTCGCTAGTATGTTGGACTGGTTTGGTATTTCACCTTGATGCTCTGGTGGGCTTAATCTGACATGTGCGTCTAGAAAGTGTCTTGGATTCATCTTGGCTGAATTTGATTATTGTTCAACTGGGTATACTTTTGCATATTGAACAATATTCTCTTTGTAAGACGTGGGGCTATTGCTGCGTTATGTTTCGCTCTACTCTCGAGTACCCTTAGACTGGCAGTGTGAGTGCTGTCTAGTGAGTCGACCAGAGAATCATTTGACCTCCCGGCATATAATAACGACGTGTGCCTGCAGATGAGCCAGGCCATTCTATATGCCGCTCGCTGACGCGTTTCTACCATCACCCCCCCCCCCCCCCCAGATGGATGGAGGACATGCGTTTCGGCATCTGTCCAGAGGCGTTCTGGCTCAACAAGGACCAGTGCTGCTGGTCGTCCAACGAGACCTTCTTCGAGGGCGATAACTGTTCTCAGGTACCGCTCTGCTTTGCCTGTGTGCTCTCTTTCGGAGAGCGATGGCTAGCCGAAAATTGCGTGATTATAGTCAACAATATCATGAGAAATACTGTATTTGGTTTCGTATCAGTTACTTTAATTTGATTGGTTTGAATATTAGGGTTTTCGTTCTGATTCGTGTTATGGCATACATAAATATGCAGTGGCTGCTCACTTTCACCCATCATTAGTCCTTAGTTCATCCCTCCCTGTGACAGTGCGTTCCATGAACCGCGAACACTTCATTCTCCCCTCACCAGCATCTGGCTCTCTTTCCTCACCCCGAAAAATGAAACTACCCTCTGAACCCTCCCCTAACGCCCCCTCCGCTCTCTCCAGTGGTACTCGTGGCCGGAGGTGCTGGGCGCCCAGCACGACAGCGCCGGCGGCTACGTGCTGGCCTACCTCTGTTACGTGGTCTGGGCACTGCTGCTGGGCCTACTGGCCGTCCGACTGGTGCGGACATTCGCGCCGTACGCCTGTGGCTCCGGTATTCCCGAGGTGAGACGGATCGGGTGGGGACGGTGGGGAGGGTATGGTACAGGTTTTAGTCTAACTAGGGAAGGCTAGAGGGATGGTTTGTGAAAAGTGGATTGTACGCAAAGCCGAGGATAGGATTGCGGGGCAGGGCGCAAAATGACCTTTGCAGTCGGCACGCCCAAAAACCCCAATAAATAAACAAGGCACTAGCCGGGGGCAGGGTAGGGCAATGAGTAGAGAGATCCAGATATGGATTGGAGAAAAGAGGGACGGGGATGATGAGATAAGGATACGGGATGAGAGGGATGAGATAGTGAGAGATAAAAGAAGGTGGAGTGATATGAGAGAGGACGGGACACGATAAAACAGGACTAGAAGGAGCGCATGTAATGGTGTCATGACAGGGAGAGGGTTGGGGTGGGAGGGGAGAGTCATGCGCCCGCGCCATGCGGTGAGCCGGTGGACACCTGTGCCACCACTCCGTCCCGAGTGTGTCCGTGTGTGTGTGTCGGTCTGTGTGTGTGGCGCCGCGTCTGGTTTATGGTACCGGCGGTCGGTGAGATTGATTACACCCGGTTAGTGTCAAGGCCGACGGACTGCCAGGTGGTTTATTCGGCAGCTGTGGGGGCCGATAATGGGACGAAACGGTGTCGGCAAAACAGCACAGGGGGCTGGAGTCACGGAATTGATTGGAATGTAATGCTTGTGCTAGTGAATCGATGCACTGGCCCGGACGATAGGAATATTGAGCAGTACTAGGTGGTTGTTTTGATTAGCATTCATGAATGACTGCGAACGTTATTTAGCACTTCTGACGACCTCTTTTCTCCCCTCCACGAGCAGATAAAGACGATTCTGAGCGGGTTCATCATCCGTGGCTACCTCGGCAAGTGGACGCTACTCATCAAGTCGGTGTGTATGATGCTGGCCGTGTCGGCCGGACTCAGTCTCGGCAAAGAGGGCCCGCTGGTACACGTCGCCTGCTGCATCGGCAACATCATCGCCTACATGTTCCCGAAGTATGGCCGCAACGAGGCCAAGAAAAGGGAGATCCTGTCGGCGTCGGCGGCGGCGGGCGTCTCAGTGGCGTTCGGCGCGCCCATCGGAGGCGTGCTCTTCAGTCTGGAGGAGGTGAGGGGCGGGGAGAGGGACTGGCGTAGTGCTGGTCTGTGATGTCGCTTCGTGTATGCGAGGAGAGAGATCAATGGCCTTTGCAATTGTCCGGTGTAAGGAGTGGGGCGGGGAGGCCGGGTGAGTGATGACCTGTGATGTGAATTTCTGTGTGGGATGGGGTGGAAAGAGGAGGGGTCGATGGTATGATGTCACATTGTGCGGGGAGAGCGTCGGCTGAACAGCTGACACGATATTCATTAGTTGAACCAATAGTCAGTTATCAGCGTGGGATTTAGAACGATTGTGCAGCGAATACACATGATGATGACTGACTACGTTAAAGGTAGTGTGCCACCTTTGAAAGATTTCCCATTTTATTTTTCCTAGGATAAGAAGCTTCTGTTTTTACCTAATATCGCAAAAAAAAATCAAAAATGGGCCTGGAATAGTGCCTTTTTCGCCTAAAAGTTTTTCGGTTTTTAGATATGTATAACAACTGTAGTGGGCTCACCTGCAAACAGGCGTCGGGCAACAATCGCGAATGCGGCGCACTTGTGACAATAAGCAAAGGTCATTATAGTGTTACGACCATACGACGTACGGGAATGAGTTATCAGCTGTCTAATCGTAGACAACACAATGTCGAGCCTTAAACTGTAAGCCCGTATTGGTATTGTTTCTTTTATTTGGCTGTCGAACATTATTTATGGTTTGAAATATGATTTTATGTAAAATAATTGATATGAAAAAGCCGTCTTATAAGTTATGACCCCATTTCACCACACGCAAGTGGCAGAAATGACAATGATCAGCTGACGCATTTTTCTTGGCCGAAGTCAGAGCGCGCGGCCCGACGCACCACGCGTATTTGGAAATTCCGACCTCGACGAGCATCAGAAGCCACCTAACAGGCGTGTTCGAAACCGCAGGAGATGATGATGAACGGGTTTATCGAAACTTGATTGGATGAGCATATCGGTAATAGCGATTTCAGTGTGTGCATTTATTGTTCATAGTGGTGTGAAATGTGGTTGGGGTACGACCGACAACCCGTCGGGGCGAATTTCGCACTGGGGTACTCAAAATTTGAAGAATTTAAGTTGTTTCCATGAGTTTTGAAGGTATGGATGAGTTCTAAAAATCCGATTCTCCTTATCTGGGCCATTAACTCCATACGGTCCAAGAAAGCTGGCACACTACCTTTAACAAAGCGCAATACTTTGCCGCCGCCGTCCGTCTTTGTCATTGGGGTTTATTACTACAGCGTGTTCGATTACCACCTTGCCCGCCCCTTTGTTTGTGTTTTCAGGCCAGTTACTATTTTCCACTGAAGACCCTGTGGCGCTCGTTCTTCTGCGCTCTGATCTCTGCGTTCATCCTGAACTCGATCAACCCGTTCGGGAACGAGCACTCGGTGTTGTTCTACGTGCACCACGAGCGGCCCTGGATCTTCTTCGAGCTGCTGCCGTTCATCTTCCTCGGCGTGCTGGGCGTGAGTGATACGGTGTACAAAGGGGAGGGGGAGAGAGGACTGAAACGTTGCGTGAACGATGCAGCGGGTCACGGGGAAAGGGCATGGGACGGTCCCATGGGAAGCCGTTAGTTGGGCAGAGGGGCCGGTGACGTCGTGTCTTCCGGGGGGGGGGGGGGGGGGCTCGCTTCGGCTATAATGAGCTCGATGGCACTCACCCTTTTACAGGTTGTCTCATGATGATCTTAGTGCGTCTGAACTGGAATGACTGGTTTCTGTTCATTCGTCTTACTCTGTGTTATGAGATCACCTTATTTTACCCAAATTGTACCCTTAGTTTACCAGCAGACAGCCGAAGAGGATGCATTTTTACTTTTGAGGCATCTGACGGACTGGCCCCGTTCCCCCTGTGTTCCCCGCAGGGTGTGATTGGCGCCGCCTTCATCCGCTCCAATATCTTCTGGTGCCGGTTCAGGAAGACCTCCCGGCTGGGCCAGTACCCGACCACCGAGGTGGTGGCCGTCACTCTGGCCACCGCGCTCCTGGCCTTCCCCAACCCCTACAGCAGGATGCCCTCCTCCGAGCTCATCAACGTGCTCTTCAACGACTGCGGGCCCTCGGAGGGCATCGACCTCTGGTGAGTCCCGGTCTACACTGCAGCTTTGTCAGATTTCAGATGCATAAGAAAACAAAGCTTAACGATCAGCCCGAGCGAATCAGCCACCAAGCCGTTCACTGCATGGCTGAGATTTAAGAATCAAAGAAGGGTCGGATCTTCTCGGTTAGTGTTGTTATTATTATGGTTATCGCTTTTTATCGCGACATGAGACTCTTTCCTGTGACCTGTGGTATATTCTGGTATAACTGATGAACCATTTCAACTGGTCTGTTACCTGCAGTACCCATGTCCCCCAATCCTTACTGACGCCCCCTTCCCCTCCCCTATCCAGCGACTACAAGCGCAACTTCAGCAGCATGAGTCAGGCTATCGAGACCTCGGAGGCGGGCCCGGGCGTGTACACGGCCCTCTGGCAACTGGCCATCGTGTTCGTCTTCAAGTTCCTCGTCACCATCTTCACGTTCGGCATGAAGATCCCGGCGGGTCTGTTCATCCCCAGCATGGTGCTCGGAGCCACCATGGGCAGAATCGTGGGTGTCGGCATGGAACAGCTGGCCATCAACTACCCCAACTGGTGAGATAATCTAGTAATAATGAGTGTATAACTACTCCATGGAGCAGCTGGCCATCAACTACCCCAACTGGTGAGTTAACAGGGAGATAATTCAGGATATAATTACTCCATGGAACAGCTGGCCATCAACTACCCCAACTGGTGATATTCCTGCTGGTGGGGCCAGAGGTGGTGGGGTGGATGGGTGGACCAGCGCTTAGTAGTGTGGCTGATGGGTAGAGTCCTTGTGAGAGCCATCAAAGGTGAGCGACATGGATGGTTAACAGGGTTGTGCTCGACTCAAAAAAATTTGCCGACTCGACTCATCATTCAACTTCAGAAAGCCCTGACTCAACTCTGACTCAAACAAGGAGCTGATTTTTTCCCTTGACTCGACTCATGACTCAAACGGCTCAATGAAAATATGAGTCGACTCAAACTTGACTCAAATTTTTTGTTGAGTCAAGTGAGTTGACTCAAAATTGACTCAGATAAAAAAGTTGTTGAGCGGGGGCGGGGGTGAGAAAAAAAAATTCCGGCAGCAGGGCCAGGGCGAAGTTGTTAAGCGGGGGGGGATGAAAAGCTTGTTTCTAGAAAATTGAGTCAGCTGACTCATGTTCCTAAATGTTTGACTCAACTCAATGTCAAAAGTTCTTTTACTGACTCAACTCTGACTCAACTCAACGCCTTAATATTTTTGTCCGACTCAGCTCTGACTCAATTCAACAGCTCAACATTTTATCCGACTCGACTCAAATCTGACTCATTTGAGTCAGAGTTGAGTCAAATGTCTGACTCGACTCATGAGTCAAGCACAACCCTGATGGTTAACTTGAAGGCGTTATGCGATAAAGTAGTTAACTTAGTTGAAGTGAACCTTAGGTAAAGTGAGTGAACATTTTATTAAAGTCAATCAGTTTTTCGCTTTTTATTTCATCATCAGCTACGAATATGGTCTAGGCATTCTATTATTTTGAAGCCGTGCCGAGAACCTTAGCAATATATTCCTATATGCAAATGGAAAACACCCAAGTAACTTTTCACTTGTCATTCGGGTTCCAAAAGACCCAGCTGTGGACGCTTCGTATACAAATGTGCCATTTGAGCCTCATTCCTTTGTCGACCGCTAACGAGGCACAGGTGTTGCGTTATGTAGTGGTACCCCCCTTCTGTCAGTGTTGGACTGTTGGCATGTGTTAAAGACTGTGGACCTATGCCAACGAGCTGAGCGGGTCGTCTGTATGCACCGAATGTGCCTGTGCCAGTGTTCAGTGTGTGTCTGTGTGTACAGCTGTGCCGTCCACGAGGTCGGTAGTCTACACTGGCGGGTGTCTGTCTGTGTTACTGGGAACCGGCGCTCTCATTGTCTGGTGTATTTGAATCCACCCCGTGACATTTAGCGTGACTTTGACTTCAGCCGGTGTGGCTTTGGGCTTAAGTATAACTCACTTGCTCAGTTTGTATGTTACTTAAAGCTAGTGTGCATATGGTTTGTTTACGTTTTATTGTCCACGGCGGCAGTAGGTCCTATTTTCGGGATGATGAGTGCCGAGATATGAACATGTCTGCGCCGTCCACACGGTTTCCGATTATATACCTATCTAACATGTATCTGCTAGCGATTGCACCGGGAGGGAGAACTGTGTTATCTGATATGTGTCCGTGTCTCTAGGTGGGTGTTTAGGACTGAGTATACCGCAGAGGAGAACTGTGTCTGATGACTGAGTGTTATGTACCGTGTCCTCTCAGGTGGGTGTTTAGCAGCGAGTGTACCGCCGGCGAGAACTATATGTGATATGTGTCTGTTCTGTATCTCTAGGTGGGTGTTCAGCAGCGAGTGTACGGCCGGCGAGAACTGCATCACCTCCGGCCTGTACGCCACCGTCGGCGCCGCCGCGGTGCTCGGTGGGGTCACCAGGATGACCGTCTCACTGGTGGTTATCATGGTGAGTACAACTTGGTACCTACCTACCCCTCACACCACACCCTAGTACACTGTGCCTGGTGGAGTCACCAGGATGACCGTCTCACTGGTGGTTATCATGGTGAGTACAACTCCGTACGCTCACTCCAACACACTGATGTACCAGAGTAGAGTCACCAGAATGACTGTATCACTGGTGGTCATTATGGTGAGTACAACTCCTTACCCTTACTCCACTCCAACACATGACTGTGTTGTGTCAGTGCTGAGTCACCACACCAGGATGACCGTCTCACTGGTGGTTATTATGGTGAGTACAATCGCGCTGGCCCGTGTACTGAAACTTATGGCTGGCCCTGTCTTAACGTTTTTTAGTTCCACCAAGGACACGGTATAAAGACAGTCATTGTATTCATAGCAAGTAGGTACAACCTCTATTGGTCTTTTTATCATCAGTTGTGACTACATCAACTGTTACCGATCCCCACCTCTCTCCGATGTTGGTCGACTCGACCTCTCCCTTGCGCCCCCGTAACCTGACCTGTCAGGTGGAACTGACGGGCTGTCAGTTACATCGTGCCGGTTACTGCCGCCCTGGCCTTGACCTGGCCTTGACCTGACCTGACCTGACCTGACCTGACCTGCCTGCCCCCCCCCCCCCTCTGTCAGGTGGAGCTCACCGGCTCTGTCAGCTACATCGTTCCCGTCATGGCTGCCGTCATGGCCGCCAAGTGGGTGGGAGACGCGCTGGGCCGCGAGGGCATCTACGACGCGCACATCTACCTGAACGGCTATCCGTTCCTGGACAGCAAGGAGGAGTTTGACCACACCTCGCTGGCGGCCGATGTAATGGAGCCCAGGAACAACGTGCCCTTCAGCGTCATAACGCAGGTTAGATGGGTGGGAGGGAGGGGTGGGGGTGGAGGTTGGTCGCTCCGGTGCGGATTATTGGTTGGTCCTGACGCTCCCAAAGCCGACAGTTGTATGTTAGATAATCGTGGTCAGTGTTTGGCGCATTCGGTGGCCCACATTTCAAGCCGCCCACTTTTTCTCTTTCGATCATGGGGTAGTTAACTGGAGCTATATCCCTCGGCATCCCGTTTCCGCATTGGCGCAAAGGGGCCATTAAATATTCAACATCCCCTGCCAGGGATCTTTTTTTCTAAATTTCTCGCCTCCCGGTTCGATTCCAGAGCTCGATGACTGTCTCCGAGATGGACTTTATGACTGTGATTGGGGGTGTTATTTAGTTGAGTGTATTTGTTCCACGGTGGTGTATAGCTCATCATTATCTTCTGGTTCCGTTTTCAGAACTCGATGACGGTCTCTGAGGTGGAGCATATCACTTAATGGAGCTGAGTGTGTACTGTGTAGTTTACTATGTCCCTGGCCTCTGGTTCCGTTTTCAGAACTCGATTGCGGTGTCGGAGGTGGAGTCTGTTTCTGTTACTGAAGCTGAATGTGTAGCTCACTGTGTCTCCGTTCTTTATTTTCAGAACTCGATGACGGTCTCGGAGGTGGAGTCTATGCTCAAGGAGACGGAGCACAACGGCTTCCCGGTGGTGGTCTCCAAGGAGTCCCAGTACCTGGTCGGCTTCGTGCTGCGGCGTGACCTCAACCTGGCGCTCGGTGAGACGCGGCGGGGCTGCTGACTGACTAGGTGGAGTGTCGTGAACACTGTCTGTTTGGTGACAGGGCAGGCTGCAGAGAAGTTTTTTGGATAGGTAACAGTTTTTGCTCAGTCTTTCTTTCTGAAAAGTGCACATCATGGAGATAATTGTCAGAATTTCCCTTTCCCCTTTATTGCGAGCGCTAATTCTCTAGCTCTCTGCCTCCCTCCTAAACTCCTTGTCTCTTTTCTTCCGTCAGCGGGAGCTCGGCGGGACGGCGTTCCCGGCCAGTCGCTGTGTCTGTTCCCCTCTGACCGGCCTCTCTCCCTCCTTTATCAGCGGGCGCTCGGCGGGACGGCGTGCCGGGCCAGTCGCTGTGTCTGTTCCCCCTCTGACCATCCCCTCTCCCTTCGTCAGCGGGAGCTCGGCGGGACGGCGTGCCGGGCCAGTCGTTGTGCCTGTGACCCCACTGACCAGGACCACCCTATCTCTCTCGTTCCGTCAGCCGGCGCTCGGCGGGACGGCGTGCCCGGCCAGTCGCTGTGTCTCTGACCTCTCTGACATATTTGTCTCCCCTTCCATCAGCCGGCGCTCGGCGGGACGGCGTGCCGGGCCAGTCGCTGTGCCTGTTCACGGCCGTGCCGACCGGCCAGTGGTCGGGCCCGCCGCCTCTGCAGCTGCGGCGCATCCTAGACCTGGCGCCCATCACCATCACCGACCAGACACCGCTCGAGACCGTCATCGACATGTTCCGCAAGCTCGGACTGCGACAGACACTCGTCACGCACAACGGGTGAGCCGTGCCGTCCTACGAGGGGGCGGGAGTAGCCACGCCCTGTGACCGGACAGGCGATGGATGAATGTTGACGATTCCGACGACCTCAACGGCGGATGTCGTACATAAATCAGAACTGGTAGCGTTGGTGGCATTTGGATGGGTCTCATTGGGTACTGTTACTATACATCTTTTCTAGGCGCTCACGTATTGCCTTGATTCGTGTTTCGTGCTGTGTAGAGTTGAACTGCTCATCATTAGCGCGTCATATTGCTTTGTGCCCCATGCCGTTCCTCCACTCCTTAGTCTATATTCAGTACACTGAATTCTGAAAACGTGTACCGTGTCTGACCCCCGCTCCCTCCCTGCAGCCGCCTGCTGGGCATCATCACCAAGAAGGACGTTCTGCGGCACCTGAAGCACCTCGAGGTGGAGGACCTGGAGCAGGTGCCGTTCCACTAGCGACCCTCATTCGGCTGGGGATCCGGAGCCGCTGCTGCTCCACTAGCGTCACTCCTTCGGCCGGTGGTAGAGGTCCCTCCCGCCGCGAAGGTACGGCTGCGCTTCTGAGAGTGAGCTGCCCGGTCTGTGACTGACCCTGGGTGGGCCAGGGGTGGTCTACTTACGCCGGGTCCGCCAAAGCCGGGTCTGCTGGGCAGCCGGCCAGTGTTGGCTGGTCTGCGGTCGATAGGCGTGCGTGGATCATCGTTAGCCTCATTTGTCGGGGACCGGTGATCGCAGAGGCCTGTACTCGCACCCCGTCGGCAGAGGTCGCTGCTGGGAGCCGCCGGTAGCTTTCCGGTCGCTCAGTGCTCGCTGGTCGTATGGTGAGCGGCCACCCTGTGCTCGCTGGCTGTATGTTGAGACGGTCGGAAGGGAGGGCGGTATATCGGCGAGGTCTGGTCCGCCCCGGCTGGTCTGTCAGTGGCGCGGTCTGGGAGTGTGTCCCGGTTGCCTAGATAGGCCGGTGTGTAACAACCGCGGCTCGATGCCCGGCCGATTCAGAGTTTAGATCCGTTGCATGGGTCTGCTTCACCTCAGCTCAGTTGGTAGGTGGCTGGTGGGGCCGTGATCTAACTACCCCTGCCGGGAACGAGTAGAGACAGCCACCGCCCCTGACGGCTACAATTCACACAAACCCTCAAACACAGCGCATACAGGCAGACACCTCGTAGCCACCTAGCTTTGTTTTATTGTTTTAGGTGCGGGCTAACCTCCGCTGTCAGCGCGGCTGGTGTTGGCGCCGCGGTCGGCCGACCGTTCTCGATGGTTATACGGTTTACCATGTGTTCAGTGGCCGGCTGCGCGTTGCAGCCGCTACCCCTCGCTGAAGTGGTTAGACACTGGTAGTCATTTGGCTGCTGCCCGACGGCAGATTAGTGAAACATCTGAGGGTGGCCCCTCACTACAGATCGTCACCAGCTGCAGCTAGTGTTTTCGGGTTCTGCGACACCTGAGCGAATGTCATTTCAGCGAACGACATTTGAGCGAAACATTTTCAGCGATTATCAATTTAAGCGATTGGCTTTTTCAGCGATTGTCAAGTCGGCGAATTCAATCACAGCGATTATCAACTTAAGCGAGGACCAGAATCAGCGAAACCAGATTGAGCGAAAATATGGTGGTCAGTGGGAGACCAATTGAGCGATGCAGTTACAGCGAATGACCGAACGCGACGAAAGTCAATCATTTGCTACTTTTCGGAAATTATTGCACCTCTTTACGCATCATTTGCATTTTGAAGACACATATGTACATCGGGCGACCAACAAGGGGTGCATGGGAGGGAAAGGAGGCGGGCAAAATTTGATTTGAAAATGCGGAACGAGATAGGGTGACGGAAGGAATGCCAAGGACCAATAATAAACTAGAGAGATGGCACAGGGGAATCCAGTCTATGTTTCAGGGACCTCACCCAAATATCTGGACATTCGTACGGTGCTTGGGGCAAGAACAAATTTTACAACATGGGGAACTGATCCAAATTCAAGCGGGGCAATTTCGCGAAAAAAGCAAAAGCAATATTGATCTCTGAACAAACGTTTGGTCACCATTATTGACAAAGAGCAGGGTGAGGTAGGGGGGGGTGAAATTGAACCGTTGGAATTTTTGACAAATGTAGCATTAAATTTGGAGCTCAATGTCTGACCTTTGAACGCGCGACATCCGCTATCCAGTTCCGGATAACCATGAGAAATTCCGGAAACATTCGTACGGATACGCTCGTAAAAGAAAAAAATCCACCGTTACAGGACGATGAAATGTTTCGCTGAACTAACAGTCGCTCAAATTGTAGTCGACGAAATAGATGTCGCTGAAACATAGCTTTCGCTAAAATTGATAATCGCTATATTTGATGATCGATGAACTTGATAATCGCTGAATTGCCATTCGCTGAAAATGGTTCGCTCAAATGACGTTCGCTCAAATGACACTCGCTAAAGTCGCTCGCACCGGTGTTTTCGATATCAGGTTAATCCGTTCTCGCTGTTGCAATGTGTTTGACCGTTGCTCCATTGGTTTACTTTATATTATTATTTACGCATATGTGAATAGTATAATGTTATCGATCTGAAGCACTAGTGATCAAAATAGGTCGACGAATACCAATTGATAGTTGTTTGTCAGTCAATTGAAGCGAGGTTTTGATGAAGGTACAGTTTGTGCGGTGTAGTTATAATATGGACAAATATTGTGTCGAGAGTTCATGAACCTCCACGAATCAAACTATGAAAACATTTACATTAAAGGCGTACCGGCTTCGTCTATTGACTTCTTCAGCGCCGTTGTATCGAAACAAGGAACCCAAGGAACAAGAAAACGAGCACAATATCAATCGTTTGAAACGTTTAGAAATAATAGCACGTATTTCTGAGAACAAGGTCTGAGTAGTGGAGTATCTCCTAAATAAAACGAATTCATGCATATTTTCCAGAACATGTTTGCGAATAGATTGTTACACAAAACATGTTCACGAAAATATGTATGAATTTGTTTTATTTAGGAGGTACCCCATTACTCAGACCTTGTTCTCAGAAATACGTGCTATTATTTTCAAACGTTTCAAACGACTGATGTTGTGCTCGTTTTCTTGTTCCTTGCAAGGCCAGTTCCTTGTTTCGATACAACGGCGCTGAAGAAGTCAATAGACGAAACCGGTACGTCTTTAATGTAAATGTTTTCATAGTTTGATTCGTGGAGGTTCATGAACTCTCGACACTTGTGCGGTGTACTTTGCATGTAACGCTAAATGAACGCAGCTCATATTCATGGCCAGCGATATTTGCATAATGCGCATGCCATAATTGATCGGCTGATCTGTGCATCGATTTCAATCAAAGGTGCAACGAAAACACTTATCCATAAGATATCACCTCATTTGCTGGCATTTGTTTATTTATGCGTCTCGCTATCACTGGGTTTGGTAGGTTTAGGGTTCTCCACAAACTTAGCCTCGCCTGTGCGCGCTCCTATCCGTCAGGTGTTCTCTCTTGCTACGTATCTGTCTCTGTTGGGTCCTCGTCTCTCATTTCGCGGCGTCTCATGTATTTGGAGCGGTCTGAAAGGCTGGCCGATGTAGCGTGCTGTACCGTCTCATCCACCGCTCTGCCGAACAAGTCAGCCGTTCGGTCCTCAATGTCTACTGTACCTTCTATTAATTTATCGTGGAGCATATACGCATGTTATATCGGGATATATGTATGTGCGTTTGCGTCTGTACGCCTGTGCGTCTGTAGTGCGTGCGGCGGCGCCGGGCGGGGCTCCTCCGCGAGGCAGTTCCGGCCGGCTGGTCCGCCGCTCCTCAGTCGAATACACGTTCAGTGTCCGCTGCCGGCGTGTGTGGAGTGATTGCTTATATAGGGAGACCCGGCGATGGGCCGCCGGCTGACCGTGCCCTTGTAGTAACCTCGGCTCATGGAGCCGCGTCGCCGACCGCCTTCGACCGACGCACAGTGTGGCCGAACACCAGTTTAGCGCGAATTTAATCCCAGCGCTCCTCGGATCCACTGAAAATGGTTCTCTGGTTCCAAAACTGACACTTACCCCTCGCCGGACTTATTGGTTTTCAAAATACGCGCCGGCCGAAGGGGGGGGGGGGTTGGTACGACCCCCGTCGCTGTTTCGCCCCTGATGGAGCTAGAGCCCCGCGGAAAAAACGAGCGTGTGCGCCGTTACGAGACGCAGCGACTGGTACCCGATTTTAAGGTCTTAGGCCAACCTGTGACCTCTGAGGTCAGGTCAAGTGACCCAGGCGCGGATTCATTTTTTATTAATAACTTCGCGAAAAAATGCCGCAGAGCCGCAATTTTGGTATCATCATGTTCGCCTCACTCAGGCGCGTCGAATGGTATACTTTTTGTTCGGCTGAAGTTAACTTCAGGTGTTGACCGTGGGTCAAGGTCAGGTCAGAGTCCTCCAGATCACGAAGTTGGTTGAAGGAGGTCATGTTGCATATCATTCGATTCAGCAAGTCTTCCTGAGTCCATTGGTGGCTTTCTCGACTCGCTAGCTCAATTTAATCGGGAGTTATTGACGAAAAACTCTTATTACCCTAGTGACGTCATAAATGACGTCACGTAAGACCAACAATGCATAGGTGAAGCATCGGACCTTGCAAGGAGTGCATGAAATCACGATTTCGTGTGCTTGAGATAGTTTATTAGGCTGGAGCCTGTCCGGCCGCGCCGCCCCCGACCTTGGTCAGGTCACATAGGGCGGCCGACTAGACATGTTCAAAGCTGAGTTGACGGCAAATAGGCAAAAACTGGCAGCTGAAACTTGCTCGCTTATGTTCAGAAAGGTGCGGAGAGTTCAGCCATGCCCTATTCGTCATATCCATTTTTATCCATTTTGACATTTTTCAACTTCTTTATTAAATACTATCGTGAGAACGATACACATGCAGGGCTCTTGTTCTAACTCATTAAACTCAAAAACCATTCATTGAAAAGCTACCATGATAGCAGAAACAGCTTCATCATGAATTGTGCTATCCGGTGATATGCTATTTTCTCATATATCTTCTCGAAACTTCCGTAAAATTTACGTTGAAAACTGGACATATTTATCAGTACCATAGCCCGATTTTAGGAACCGGAGCGTGGGTCTACTTTCGGCAGGGATATAAGTCCTCAAATGGTAAAGTGGCTTAAAAATAAGGTTCTATCAGATAACTTCAGACAATTTCCTACCCATTGATAGGTATAAATAACAGTTTATCGAAAGTCGGGTTTTTGATTAAATTCGCGCTAATCTGGTATTCGGCAAGACCGTGCGACGGCCCGGGAAATCCACAGTCTCTGGGTCACCGACCATGGCCAGCACAGACTGAACAGCCAAACAGCGCTCCATTAGCGATGCAGCGGAAGATGGACGTGATCTCCGTGCTGACGCCGCTGGCACCGTCCCACGTAGCGCCTCCCAGTGTAACTGCCATGAGCAGTCACGATCCCTGGCTGCTCCGAGCGGCCCGGGTCCGATGACCTGCCGGCGGCGCTCTCTCCCTCCCCTCCTCTCTCCACCTGACCGTGCGGCCGGGTCATCGGCCAGTCCCGTGGATGGGCCGAGGAGTGCCGCCTCTAACCGGCCCGGACCGGCCGGCCAGTCACGGGGCGAGATTTATAACGCCGTCAGAGGTGACCGGTGGGCCCGGGCCGGCCGCTCGTGGGTCACGCTCGGCAGTCGACTATCACGGCCCGAATACGGAGTGTCTTGTAGTCGGGGTCGGAGGGTCGACGGCGGGCTACTGCCGGGTGACGATGGAATCCGGTAACGCTGCTTTTGCCGGATCACGAATTTCCGAAATGCATTATAATGCATTTCGACAATTCATAATTATGAATTGTCACTGGATTTCACTAAGTTTGGATGTTGACGACAAAGTTCTTTTGAGAGTGTGTTTAAAGTAATTTTTGTATTGCTTAGGTTGCTTAGCACCCATAGAGCGTTTAATTTTGCAATTGGCCCTCCCCGTATCGTGTCAACAGCAAACTGTTAGCGTGCTCTCCGTCTTTTTACATTGAACAGAGACACATATTAATTGTCGCAAATCAGATATATTTATGAAATACATCAGTACAATATCGGATACACCTAAGCATAGATAACATGAATTTATGTTATCTATGACCTAAGTAATAAAATCTCTGCAACCAGAGATCACCGCGCTATTTCAGTTACAAAGTTGAACACACTGCTCAATGCCCGCCTGCGTCCATCGACACTCCAACAACCAGCGATAGGTGGAGGAGGGCACCTACGGCACAGGGTCCGCCCGCGCCCGCGCATCCCGCTCCGTCCCTTCGCAGGCACAGAGACCTCGGGCACGCGTGACGGGCTTTCCTCGGCACGGTGGACAGCGCGGAGGCAGGATGCTGTAGATGCTGTCGATGGTTTCCCCATTGGAGACGCTGCCACTGTATTCGCCGTCAGTACCACTGCCGCTTAGGCTGCCCTCCGTGCCGCGCTTGTTATCACTGGTGACGCCTCCTCCAGTGAAACTGTCACCTCCGCTGTGTCCTCCGTGTGTACCGCCGCCGGTACAAAATCCTCCAGCGCTGCTCCCACCGGAGCTGCCTCCTCCAGCGTCGCCTCTGCTGGGGTCGCCACCTCCTGTATTGCCTCCAACACCGGTGCCACTAGAACTGCCTCCTCCAGAGCCGCCTCCAGAGCCGCCTCCAGAGCTGCTACCTCCTCCAGTGCCTCCAGTACCGGTCCCACTGGAACTGCCGCCTCCAGAGCCGCCTCCAGAGGTGCCTTCAGAGTTGCTCCCACTGGAGCTACCTCCTCCAGAGCCGCCTCCACTGGAGTTACCTCCTCCAGAGGCTCCAGTACTGGTCCCAGTGGAGCTACCTCCCCCAGAGCCGCCTCCAGAGCCGCCTCCGCCGGAGCTGCCTCCTCCAGAGCCTCCAGTACGGTTTCCGCTGGAGCTGCCTCCTCCAGTGCCTCCAGAGCCGCCTCCGCCGGAGTTACCTCCTCCAGAGCCGCCTCCAAAGCCGCCTCCGCCGGAGCTGCCTCCTCCACTGGAGCTACCTCCTCCATTACTGGTCCCACTTGAGCTGCTACCTCCCCCAGTACCTCCTGTACTGGAGCTGCCACCTCCTCCACCACCTCCACTGGAGCTGCTGCCTCCAGTACCTCCAGTACCGCTACCACTGGAGCTACCTCCTCCAGAGCTGCTACCTCCTCCTATACTGCCTCCGCTGGAGCTGCCACCTCTGCTGATACCACTACCACTGTCTCCGATCTTGCCACTGTCACTGTATCCGCTGTCTCTAGAATCACCGGCGTTGCTGGTAGCTTCACCAGCCCCGGCCTTCGAGAGAACTTCTTCAATGGCTTCCGTTTTCTCCCTAGGTTGTCTGTTTTCCACCTCCATGGGGCTGGGCCATCCCCTGACCAGCGTCACCGCCAGCAGTAGACACAGCAGCCGACACGACCTCATGGCGGCGACCGTCTCGGACGACTGACGCCGGCTGCACATTATACATTACCCCCCCCCCCCCCTCTCCCCGCCCCGGTCACGTTTGACCTTCACATCGGACGCTGACCGTCTGCCGTTGACCTCAGCACAGGCAGACCGATCGTCCGAACGGCAATGAGATTTATTCATGAAGTGCCGGTATGCTTGGATGCACTTGTATGAGATAACAAAAGAGCCTTACTTTTAAAATGGCCTGGTCGTCTCCAACTGGTGTTTCGACCGTATGGATGCATGAAGCGTTTAAAGCTTAGCCTTATAAATCCGCTGCATGTTTGTTGAAAGGACAGATTTTCTCAGAGAGCAGTGTGACATTTTCCTCAGTCAAGTGATGAAGTAGCATATTGCCGTGAACGGATTGACTTGTGGTAGCATTATATGTATTGTATAATATAGCAAAAATGTGCAATTCATTATATAAATGTTTGTTTTGTGGAGCTAACTCATTGAAACAAACTACGTCAACGATTAATTGTGTGAATGACATTGCTCAGGTTTATCCCAGCTCAGAGCTTTTATTTTTATTTGCATGCTCCATCACATATCACACTTTACACCAGTTTATTTCAGGCTGGAACATCATTAACACAATCACGCACAGGTGTGATCAAATAAATAAACTACATGTAAAACCACAACGCCGTAACAGCCAACCGCAACAAAAACAGAGTCCTATACAGTTAACAACCAGAGATCTTGTTCAAGTCTCCCAAACTTGACAAAATGCCGCTGCCTGCCGACCGGACGGCCTATGGCACTTCCCGTCTGGCCTCAGCCCCATAGGTCGACGGCTCATCGGCGGCCTCCTGTGGGAGCCCGTACGGTGCCGCCTCGCCCTGCCCCAGCGGAGACTCCGACTCTGGCTGGGGGTCTAACCCCTCTCCCGCACTGGGGTCGGCCCCGTCCGCCTCCGGCTGGGGGTCTAACTCCTCCCCCGCGCTGGGGCCGGCCCCGTCCGCCTGCGGCCTCAGCTTGGGGAACTTTCTGCAGCAGACGCCGACCAGGTTCCCGCCGAGCTGGCAGTGCACCATGGCCACGGTGGGCGTCTCAGCCGTGATCGGGTAGCCCAGCTGGTAGTTGTCGGTCACCAGGTAGCCCGAGTAGGGGTCACACGCGCTGCGCGGCACGCACGGCAGCGCGGAGGCCGGGCCCGGACAGCGCAGCACCACGTGCTCGCTGACGGCGCCGGCCGAACCTTCGCCGCCCCCAGTGCTGCCGCCAACTAAGCTGCCGCCTCCACTACCTGTGCTCCCGCCGAAATTGCTGCCTCCACCTCCACTTCCTCCTCCGAAGCTGCTACCTCCGCCACCAGTTCCTCCTCCGAAGTTGCTGCTTCCACCCCCAGTTCCTCCACCAAAGCTGCTGCCTCCGCTGCCACTTCCTCCACCGAAGCTGCTGCCACTTCCTCCACCTCCGCTGCTACTTCCTCCTCCGAAGCTGCTGCCTCCGCTGCCAGTGCCTCCACCGAAGTTGCTGCCTCCACTGCCACTTCCTCCCCCGAAGCTGCTGCCCCCACCGCCACTTTCACCTCCAAAGTTGCTGCCTCCGCTGCCACTCCCTCCACCGAAGTTGCTACCTCCGCTGCCACTCCCTCCACCGAAGTTGCTGCCTCCGTTGCCACTTCCCCCTCCGAAGTTGCTGCCTCCACCGCCACTTCCTCCACCGCTACTGCCTCCTCCAAAGTTGTTGCTCGCACCGCTACTGCCTCCTCCGAAGCTGCTGCTTCCACCCTCACTTCCTCCACCGAAGCCGCTACCTCCGCCGCCAGTTCCTCCTCCAAAGTTGCTGCTTCCGCTGCCACTTCCTCCACCTCCGCTGCCACTTCCTCCCCCGAAGCTGCTGCCTCCGCTGCCACTTCCTCCTCCGAAGTTGCTTCCTCCACCGCCACTTCCTCCTCCGAAGTTGCTGCCTCCACCCCCAGTTCCTCCACCAAAGCTGCTACCTCCACCGCCAGTTCCTCCGAAACTGCTGCCACTTCCTCCACCTCCGCTGCTACTTCCTCCACCGAAGTTGCTGCCTCCGCTGCCAGTGCCTCCACCAAAGCTGCTACCTCCACCGCCACTTCCTCCGAAGCTGCTGCCCCCACCGCCACTTGCCCCTCCGAAGTTGCTGCCTCCGCCGCCACTTCCCCCTCCGGAGTTGCTGCCTCCGCCGACACTTCCCCCTCCGAAGTTGCTGCCTCCACCACCAATTCCTCCTCCGAAGTTGCTGCCTCCGCTGCTACTTCCTCCTCCGAAGCTGCTGCCCCCACCGCCACTTCCCCCTCCGAAGTTGCTGCCTCCGCTGCCACTTCCTCCACCGAAGTTGCTGCCTCCGCTGCCACTTCCTCCTCCGAAGCTGCTGCCCCCACCGCCACTTCCCCCTCCGAAGTTGCTGCCTCCACCGCTACTGCTTCCGCCAAAGCTGCCGGTTCCTCCACCGCTGGTTTGTGTTCCGACGGGTCTCGAAACGACGGGACGGTTGATGAAACTTCCCCCTCCGCCGGAGGACTGGCTCAGAAATGGATTGTTGCCAAAGTTGGGGCCGGTCTGCGGTACCTGCTGTTGCTGCTGCTGCTGCTGCTGCTGCTGCTGCTGCTGCTGGACAGGTCGCTGAGGGTTCTGGAAGCCAGAAGAAGGCGGTAAATTGATTGTACCTTCTAAGAACGGATTGGAAGGACGCTGTGCCGGCCGCTGGGTGATAGGCTTTGGGTTAAATGGCGTTTGAGGAAATGGCTTGTTGGCAGGTACCTGAGCGAACGGCTTGTTGACGGGCTTCTGGGAAAACGGCCTGTTGGCAGGGACCTGAGCAAACGGCTTATTTACAGGTTTCTGGGCGAACGGCTTGTTGGCAGGTTTCTGAGAAAACGGCCTGTTGATGTTGGTCGGTTTCTGGGCTGGCGGTCTGTTGGGCGGTACCTGAGTGAAGGGTCTGTTGGGAGGCCTCTGGGTGTCCGTCGGTGCCGGTGCCGGCGGACGGCCACCGGTCAGCTCCCACGCCTGGCTGAGCTCCGGCGGCGGCTTGTAGTCGGGCGCGAACGGGTTGTGGTGGCCCGACTGACCGGGACGCAGCGGCGTCACCTCGATACCGGCGCCGAAGTCGATGCCGGTCTGGCCCAGACTGCCGCTCTTCTGTGGCGACGCGCCTTCGGTGATGCTGTCCGGAAGGCCGGCGTAGTCAGAGGCCGGCATCGCGCTGCTCGGGGTGTCGGCGTAGTCAGAGGCCGAATCCGAGGCCGGGATCACGCTGTCCGGGATGCCGGCGTAGCTGAGGGCCACGGAAACGGTACTCTCTTGAGTCTCCTCTCCAATATTGTCATGGGCAAGCTCCTCATCGCCGCTGCCTTCTTCATAAGTGTCTTCATCGCCGCTGCTTTCTTGGTCCGTTTCGTCATCTGGAGCAGCGTCTAGCACTTCTTGGAACAACGCTTCAGTCTCTTCGCTCACTTCGTCACCTTCAGAAGTTTCTTCGTCTGTGTTCTCTTCAGTTTTCCCATCCGTACTATTTTCCTTGTAAGTTGCTACGCTCTTGACTTCTTCCTCAACTATTGCATCTACATCACTATCTTCTTGAGTAATTGGCACGTTGTATTCGTTAGCACTTTCCTCGACTTCTTCATTGTGTTCTTCAACATCAGCTTGTTCTGCTAGGTCTTCAACAACTTCTTGACCTGAGTTGTATCCTTTAACATGCTGCTTGCCTACCCCATCTTCACTGACTTCTTGGTGACTTTCGTCGTACGTGACGGCTTTCTTCTCAGCTTCTCCAGTCTCTCTGGACATGGGGCTTGGCCATCCTCTGACCAGTGTCACTGCCAGCAGCAGACACAGCAGCCGACACGACCTCATGGCGGCGACCGTCTCGGACGACTGAGGGCGGGCGGCCGGTTATCACAGGCTGCCTCCACCTCCGCGCCTCTGCTCCCCAGCCCACCCAACCCGCCGGTCTCCCGACCGGGCCGCCGACCGCGCCGACCGCTCCGCCCCAGTCCGGTCTAAAAGTCTGGGTCAACCCGGCTGCCGTCCCAGCGGCAGTGCGATTTGACCTGACCCTACGGCCTACAGGTGTGCATTTCTAGAATATGAGGTCAAACTCGCCTCGGATAGGGGAACAACACATGTCGGTTGTTTTGCTTTACCGCCGGAATTATCCAGATGTAGGTTGTACTGATGTGTAAAAGTGGACTAACACTTGGTCGTTTTTAATTGGTTGGATGCCGTTCGGATTCATGCTATTAATTATGTAAAAATCTAAGCCTTGATTAAAGTTATGCGAGCGAACGCGAAGTGCCAAGTCAGTTCTTTCCTTTTCATTATATTGCAAAATCTTATCATGAAGGGCAGGTTCTTTTAACCCGCGCCCCACTGGGGTCTGCGTATAACACGCCCTACTGGGGGGGGGGGCTATTCATAGCCCCTCCTAACTCCGAAACTACTGGGCCGATTGTCAAAATTCAAACGGCGTCTGATAGCCCCGGAAAAACTGTCGAGCGAAACCTAATTTCATTGACCTCGAGGTCACCGATGACGTCACAGGTCAGGTCAACTAGTCTGTGGGGAAATATGCAAACTGTTATTCTTGCGTCGAAAATGATCAAGAACTATCTCAAGCACATGGAATCACGATTTCATGCACTACTTCAAGGTCCGATGTTTAACTTTGGCATCGTTGTTCTTACGTGACGCCATTCAGACGTCATTAAGTTTATAGACGTAGGTCCCGATCAAATTGGGCTAGTGAGTCGGGTAAGCCACCAATGAACTCGGAAAGATCTGCTAACTCGAATGATATGTGGTATGAGTTATGACCTCCTTCGACCAGTTTCATGACCTGAGTGACTCTGACCTGACCTTGACCAGGAGGTTAATACCCTAAATTGACCTTCCCAAACAAAAAGTTTGACCCGGTGGCTACTGGCTGAGCATGACAAACGAGATTAGGTCAAAATCGCAGCTCTGTGATAATTTTCGGCCAAGCTATTTGCCAAAAAACGGACCCCCTACCATAAGGTCTCTGATCTGAGCCCGAAGATCACCAGCTGAACTGATCCAGGCACTACGTAGTGACTGTGCCTTATGCCAGTGCACATGCTCTCTTTTTGCCCTAAACCTTAGCTCAGTTAGGGTAAAACAGCGATTGGGCTGTACCCACCCCGCCCTTTTTATTTCTGCCAAAAACACTTATTTTTGTCGCTACTTTATTTAGGAGCCAAATCAGAGGGGAGGTAAATTCATTCCTGTTTTGTCGCATTACGATTAAACGCCATACAGCCATCGCCCATGAGCATATGAAGTATGATTATTTTTTCCCCATGGCCATTACCAGTTATCTGTGCAGGCAAGACACAAAACATTTCACATAGTTATTTAACCCTCGCCGGCCGAGGGGGGGCGGGTGCCGCCCCCCCCCATAGGGTTTTTTCGCGATAGCTCCGAACACGCTGGCGATAGAGAGCTGAAACTTGGCATACCTGACCTTTGATCCAAGCCGGATCTTTTGACATCAACCGCATTTTTGGGTCAGGTCAGGTCACTGACCTATGACGTCATAAGTGAACCTCTGCACGGTCTTCAGATGTCGCAACTTCGCAACGCCCTCACTGCCAGAGGAGATGTCACAGGGAAATGAAACTTGCAGGATCTAGTATCCATTATGAGTCCCACAACTTGTATATCTCGGATTTTTCCTAAAGGTCATATGAGGTCAGGTCATTTTCGTGACCTCACCATTATAAGTCAATGGGGAAAAATTCAAACTGCTATTCTGGCGCCGGGAACGATCTCCAACTATCTCAAGCACACGGAATCGTGATTTGATGCACTCCTTGCAAGGTTAGATGCGTCACTTTTGCAATGTTGACCTTGCGTGACGTCATTTATGACGTCATCAAGGTCAAATTAGTTTTTCGTCAATAACTCTTGATCAAATTGAGCTAGCGAGTCGGGAAAGGCACCAATGGACTCAGGAAGGCCTGCCGAATCGAATGATATGCGACATGACCTCTTTCGACCAACTTCGTGACCTGGGGGTGCTGACCTGACCTTGACCTGAGGTCAACACCCCAAGTTGACCTGACCCGGACAAAAAGTATATCATTCGACGCGCCTGAGTGAGGCGAACACGATGCTGCCAAAATCGGCGCTCTGCGGCCGTTTTTTGCGAAGTTATTCACCAAAAACTGAACCGTACCCTGGGGCACTTGACCTGACCTCAGAGGTCACCGGTTGACCTAGGACCTTAAAATCGGGTACCAATCTCTGCGTCTCGTAACGGCGCACACGCTCGTTTTTTCCGCGACGCGCTAGCTCCACCAGGGGCGAAACGGCGAGGGGGGGTCTTACCCGCCCCCCCCCCCCCCTCGGCCGGCGCGTATGTAGAAAACCAATAGGTCCGGCGAGGGTTAAGTTTTGTTTCATCTACCACGATTATCTCAATAAAACCACGCATATCTAAATGTTCACATTTTCGTGCCCTTTTAACACAATTAACCACAAAATCATAGGCGGCGGAACGGGGGGAGGGGCACCGTGCCTCCCCCTTGATTTTGCCATTTTAACATTAGCCCTATGGGCGTTGCATGGAAAGATGGGACCAAAAGTCGGCGGTGCTCCCCCCCCCCCTTCATTGCAGGTGTTCCGCCGCTACTGCACAAAATAACTATTGCATGGACCGACGTAGTTCGGTCCATGCAATAGTTCTGGCGTCGTTCTTCTGGCGTCGACGTTCTGGCGATGTAGTAAGGATGGTTCACTAAGGGTGAATCCTTTTCTCTGAACACGATCTTATTTCGTCAGCTTTTATGCATGCTGATAATTTTCCAAAATACGATGCTTTTACATAGGTGTGTTTTTCAGTGATTGATAGAGACTTGGCTGACGGGGAGAGTCAAGGTGCTCGTGAAATATTTATCATAAACAACAAGCTGGCGTAACAAGCTCGTTTTCATATAAAACATCAAACAAGTCCCAGCTATAACAACAACAACAACATTTACCCATTTATACATACGTAAAACTTTTTCCTTCATAGATAATCTGATCACGATGGCACATCATAGAACACGCCTATCAAAGCTACTTTTGTTTTTTTTTCTGGCCTTGGTTAACGTTTCCTTCTCTGGGTTTCTTTTTTGTCTTCCTTTTAACCGCTTCCACTTGTCTGGTCTTGGGTAGCAGGCCTGCCGGTTGTGCTTGGTCTTGTGTGGTAAGGCAGGAACAGCTTGGCTGTGATTGGTCCCGAGTTGTTCCGAGTAAGCGGGGAGAGACCTCAGCTTGGCCTAGTTGGTTGGTCTTCGAGTAGAAACCACAGGTCTTCTGGTTATAGCTGGTCTCCGAGTAGTTTACCTAATCTTGCGAATGAAGCGGCGCTTTGAGGGTCACTGTGCAGTGGCAGAACGTTTCGGCTTTTGTGTGGCAGGCCTACTAGCTGGTCTTCGAGTGGCAGGTTTTTTAGCTGGTCGCTTGGTGGTTGCTGGTCTCTGAGCGGCAGGCCTCTTAGCTGGTCTCTGAGCGGCAGGTTTCTTTGCTGGTCGCTGGGTGGTTGGTCTGTTGCCCACTCGTGTGGCCACCATCTTATTGGGCGGCTTCTGAGCGGCCGGTCTCTTAGGTCTCTGAGCGGCCGGTCTCTTAGGTCTCTGAGCGGCCGGTCTCTTAGGTCTTTGAGCGGCCGGTCTCTTTGGTCTCTGAGTGGCGTGGTTCTTTGGCTTCTGGGTAGCTCGACGTTTCGGCTTTTGCGTACCTGGTCGTTTTGGTCTCTGGGTGGTTGGTCGTTTTGGCCTCTGGGTGGCTGTGTTTTTCTGTTTTTGAGTGCCTGGCCTCTTCGGTCTTTGGTTGGTGGCTGTGTTCTTCGGTCTCTGAGTAGCCCGGTTTTTCGGTCTCTGAGTAGCCTGGTTTTTCGGTCTCTGAGTAGCCCGGTTTTTCGGTTTTTGGGTGGCCGGGCTCTTTGCTGGTTTCTCGTTGGTGGCTGTCTGTGCGGGCTCCGTTTCGACCTCTGACTGAGTGCCGGACGGCTCCGATGGGGCCTCTGCTGACGGTTCGGGAGCCACTTCCTGCGGCGTGGACTGCGGGCTGTGGCTGTCGCTGTTGGTCGGCGCCTCACTGACAGCTTCCGCTTCTATCATCTCGGCTTGCAGGGCCACCTGATGTCCGGCATCATCACTGCTGACTGCTGCTTCTCCGGGGACTTGGCCGGGCCAGCCCCCGACCAGTGTCACCGCCAGCAGCAGACACAGCAGCCGACACAACCTCATGGCGGCGACCGTCTCGGACGACTGGCGCCCGCAGCTTATCACGCGCTGTCTACACCCGCCTCTCCGGCGCACGTGACCTGCTAACTACTGCCCTGGGGCGCCGTGGACACCTGACCGATGTCGGACCACTCAGCCGTTCGAATACAAAAGTAGCCGGACCGCGGCCTCAATCAAGGCAGAGCGGAGCCGACAGTCACTGCCGACACTGTAAGCCGCGCCTCGCTCTTCCCTCTCCCTTCTCCCTCCCCGGCCTTCTCCCTCTCCTCTGCCGGGTCGTGATCGCTCTCTGCCTTTCTGTGCCACGATCGTGATATGCCTCACTTTATCTGTCCCACATCCGGGTGCACGACAGGTCAGTGGCCCAGACAGGTGACCCAGGGCGACGGCCGGCAGAGGACGCAGCTACTCTTGTTTATCCTCTCTCCCCTCTGTTTATCTCTGCCGAACCGCGTAGTCGATCGGTTTTGCATTACCAGTTCAGGTGATCTCTCTTACTTATCGTATACTGGCTTTGGGTATCTGTCTAACCCATTATACCAAGTTAAGTTATGCGTACTGCGTGATTAAGGCTGCGGCATTTGTGTTGTGCGCGCTATGTATGATGTGAT